TATTATTATTCAAAATGGCAACAAAACAGCAACAAGTGCGTAATGCAATTTTGTGTGCTCAAATGGAAAATCCTAGTTCGCCTCTCAAATCGATTGTAAAAACTGTTGGATGTTCTAAAAGCACTGTGATTAGAACTTTAAATAAGTATTTGACACCTAATACAATAAATAGAAAGCCTGGAAGTGGCAACAACTTGAACATTAACAAAAAACTGAAAACAAATGTTTTGGTGAAAATAAGGGGAAATCCTAACATTTCTGAGTGAGATTTGGCACTAAAATGCAAAACTAGCAAACAAATGGTTCGGACTATCAAGAAAAAGCATAAAATCAAGTCTTTCAAGATGTATAAAGCCCTAGATCGCAATGCTGAAGAAATTTTAGTGGCAAAAAGTTGTGCAGGAAAATTATACAAATTATTGTGTAGAAAAAAAAAAGTGTAATTATGGATGATGAAACTTATGTGAAATTAAATTTCAAAACGAGTCCAGGATATCATTTTTATATGGGAGTCTCCAGGAAAAAAATTAAGGCTAGATTTAAAACAATAAAACTAAAAAAGTTCCTCCAAAAAATTATGGTTTAGCAAGCTATATGTCAATGTGGATTAAAAACACAAAGTTTCGTCACTAGTTCCACAATAAATAATGAAATCTATCAAAAAGAGCATCTTAAAAAGCGCTTATTACCCCTGTGGTATGCCCACGATGGTAATACAATCTTTTGGCCTGACCTAGCGTCTTGTTATTACTCCAAATCCACGTTAAACTATTGAACTTATTGTATTATTGTCTCATTCTTCTTGTTTTACAAGAAGAATGAGACAATAATACAAAAACAAGCTTTTGTTAAACACGTTGAATAAAATCTGTGCAAATGTATCTATAGCATTGAAAATTCTTTTTATATTACCAATTATAGTACCTAGTGCCGAAAAGTTGTTTTTAAAACTATAAACTAATAAAATTCAAACCCTAACCCTGATGGCTGGCCAGGATAAATTTAAATATCTAGCAACAATTTATATTGAAAATAAAATTGCCACTGATTTAAATATTGAAGATATGTAATTAAAACTTTCTTTTATGAAAGCTTGAGAAGTATTTTTAAGATAAATTACTTGTAAATCTTTTTCTTTTTAATAAATTTGTATTAAAATGCATTTATTTTAGAAAAATATTTTATTTTAAAGGGTCCAAAATACTTTTTTCATATATCTTAAAAATGTCTTGCACCAAACTTACATACATACATAGATCTTAGTGAATGAGCACAAAAGCCAAGAAATGTTCATTTTAAAATGGACATGGGAATCCAAAAGAGTTGCTTGTCAGATTTGTGTGCCTGCCAGCATTGGCTTAAGTTGGTTTTTTCTTCTTTCAAAAATGGTTTTAAAACAATAAATTCATATAAACTAAAATATAAATACCAAGAAGTAAAAAAAGTTAAAAAAATTTTTGATTAAAATAGAAAGGCCTTCCTGCTTTAAAAAAAACCGTTGTCATTTAAAAAGTATTTACAGTTATTTAAATTTTTTAAAAAAATTGGTTAAAAGTTAACATAGGAATGTTGGTATTGTTTAAAAGTTAACGGAGGAATGTTGGAATTAGTTAAAAAAATTGTGTCATTAACAGTTTATGCTGATATAATTTTAAAGTAATAAAATGAAATTCTTCTGTTTTTGTTTTTACTGTCATACATATATTTTTGTATTTTTAAAATAAACATAAAAAATATATATAACCATTCTTATTGTAAACAGTTGTTTAAAGTTTTTCAAAAAACTTTATTGAATATTGTTGCTCAATGAAAATAAAATAAGATATCAAACTTATTCATTCAAAGTTATATTACAAGCACTTTGTTGTTCTCTCAAGAAAAACAGGAACAACAAAATTTAAACATAAAGATGTATGCATATATATATATATATATATATATATATATATATATATATATATATATATATATATATATATATATATATATATATATATATATATATATATATATATATTTATATATATATATATATATATATATATATATATATATTTATATATATATATATATATATATATATATATATATATATATATATATAATATATATATATATATATATATATATATATATATATATATATATATATATATATATATATTTATATATATATATATATATATATATATATATATATATATATATATATATATATATATATATATATATATATATATAATATATATATATATATATATATATATATATATATATATTTATATTTATATATATATATATATATATATATAACTTATTCATTCAAAGTTATATTACAAGCACTTTGTTGTTCTCTCAAGAAAAACAGGAACAACAAAATTTAAACATAAAGATGTATGCATATATATATATATATATATATATATATATATATATATATATATATATATATATATATATATATATATATATATATATTTATATATATATATATATATATATATATATATAATTTATATATATATATATATATATATATATATATATATATATATATAAATATATATATATATATATATATATATATATATATATATATATATTTATATATATATATATATATATATATATATATATATATATATATATATATATATATATATATATATAAATATATATATATATATATATATATATATATTATATTTATATTTATATATATATATATATATATATATATATATATATATATATATATATATATATATATATATATATATATATATATATATATATATATAATATAAAGTAAATTTTTATGTCACATTTTTATAATTACAACAAATACCTACAATTAAAAGAAATTGTCTGGAGGATTTTATGTTTAAAAAATATATTAAGTATAACATATACAGTTTTTGCCAAAGAGATGCAACCACTCATTGTTATTATTAATTACTTATAAATGTAATGCGTGTTGGCAACACTGAACAATCACATGTTGTGTCTATAATTGCATAACTAATAACCAATAAGAAAATATCTTATATTCTCTCTATATAAAAAAATTATGCTTAATTTAATCGTTATTGTCTCAGACTATGTTTACAAAATCACTTGTTAATTAAATAAATGCCTGAATAAATAATTTAAAAACTTGTCTCATTAAATAATTGCTGCCCATTTAAAGAAATTTAAGAAAACTGTTATGAATTGGAAGACCAAGAATTACCACTTAAAAAACCAACAACATGATATGTCATTTAGCTGTAAAGAACATAAAGATTTCAAGCTCACAAATTTTTACTCAACTGCCTTCTAGTGTTAATACCCGCACAGTAGGAAGATGTCTTTTCAAGGA